CCTCCTCACTGGAGACTTCTTCCCAAAGCTGGCCACCCCACATTCAGGTGAGCCCCACCTAGCTGAGGGCCTTAGTTTCCTCGTCTGTAAAGAAAGAGGACTGGGCTAGACCAATGGTTCCCACCCCTCGCCGCATCTCAGAATCACCTGTGGGGGTTCAAATCTTCCCGAAGCCTGGTGTCACCCCCAACGTCAGATGTTGGGATTTATCAGTCAGCTCAGGTGCAGGTGGGCATCCAAAAGCCAAACCAAACCCACTGCCGTCGGGTCCATTCCGACTCATAGTGACCCCACAGGGTTTCCAAGGCTGTAAATCTTTATGGAAGCAGACTGCCACATCTTTCTACCACAGAGCTGCTGGTGGTTTCGAACCGCCGACCTTTCGGTTCGCAATCGAGTGCTTTAACCACTGCACCACCAGGGCTCCTTGGGTGGGCATCCGGACCTTTAAAAGATGTAGCCAAACAAGTTTAGCTTCGCTGGTAAAAAAAAAAAAAAGGTCTGCCTTGAGCATTATGCTCTTTTAAGAACTATCTCTATGGGATCACAGTGGCAACAGCAACTTGAAAGATTGGACAGGAGAAACTTAGGGGGCAGTGAGTTTATGTTAATGGAGGAGGAACAACTCAAAAGAGGGTGGGAATGGTCGCACAACTCGAAGAATGTCATCGACGTCACTGAATTGTACACGTAGAAATGGCTGAATTGGTGTATGTTTTGCTGTGTATATTCTCACCACCACCACCAACAGAAAAAGGTGAGTACCAGCAAGTCCTATCTGCATAACCCAGTGTCCACCAGATTCATGGCTTCTGCCAGATCCCTGAGCCACCTGTACTATGACTTACTTACCATCTTCTTTAAATCCAGTTACTTTTTAAAACCTAAATACTCTTATTTTTAAAAAGGAAATTCGTAATGCTATTAAAAATGAGAAAGAAGCTTGTTCTACTTGACAGAAAGAGATGGCAATTTTAAGAATAAATGCAATAAAAATCAAACAATGCCATCACGTACCAGATGGATATTATTATCTGGGTAGGCACTAATCAGTGCAGGGGAGGGTTAACTACATACCGGCACCAAACTGAGACTTTCCCGTGATGGAATCAGAGTCTGACGTGATTTGTATTGCGCTTTTTTGGAGAACATTTTGTTCTCAGGAGATGCACACTGAAATTTATGGAGTGAAATATGATGTCTCCAAAAACCCTAATTCCTCAGAAATAACAAGGTAGCAGATAGGTAGGTAGGTAGATAACCTGGTGCCATTGAGTCCCTTCCAATTCATAGTGACCCTACAGCACAGAGTAGGACTGCCCCGCAGAGTTTCCAAGGAGCGGCTGGTGCCTTAGAACTGCCGACCTTTTGGTTAGCAGCTGAGCTCTTAACCACTGCGCCACCAGGGCTCCAGACAGACAGCTGTAAAGTAAATGTGGCAGATACTAGCAACTGGTCAATCTAGGTGGAGGGCATATGGGTGTTCATTGTACCGTTCTGCAACTTCTCTAAAGGCTTAAAACTTTTCAGAAGAAAAAGTCTGGGAAGAACTGTGAAGCACACCTAAGTGTAGAAGTTCATGCTTGTGTATCTTTTAGTTACTTTGTATCAATGTCTGCAAAGCAAAAGGATTCTATAAAGTTATACTGAGATACATATGAATATGTATTATGCTTTTTAAAAACAATTGGAATAAAACTGAATATGGAGCAAAAAAAAAAAAAGACGCAGCCAAAGGTTGAGAACTACTGATTGGTCAGGTCGCCTTCTAGCTTATAGAAAACACTGCAAAAACTCCAAATACCAATATAACTACCTGCCCCTCCCCCAGCGCAGTAGGTAGTGGGTTTGGGATGGGAAAGGTGACCTCACCACTGAGCAGAGCCAGTCGCTCAAGGAAGGGGGTCTCTAGGCAGCCTGGCCCTGCCAACTCCTCAGATCCCTGACACTGCAGCCCACGTCATGATCTAGAGGTTTCCAAACCCAAAAAACCAAACTCGGGGCCGTCTAGTTGATTCCGACTCCTAGTGACCCTCTAGGATGGAGTAGAACTGCCCCACAGGGTTTGCAAGGCGCAGCTGGTGGATTCGAACTGCTCACCTTTTGGTTAGCAGCTGAGCTCTTAACCACTGTGCCACCTGGGCTCCTAGAGGTTTCCAGTCAGCTCTAAATATGTGGGACATTATTTGGGATGCTGTTCTTCTTTGCTGCCTGAAACATGAGTCACACAATAAAATACCTTAAACAAAAATTTCGTGGTTATTTAAGATAAGCCTTCCGCCAATAAATGTGATTAACTGCCTTTTTTTTTTCTTTTAAACAAAGAACGAAAATCTGCCTAAAACATCCGCTCATTCCCTCACTTTTAGTGGATTCTAGACTGCCGGAAAAAAAAAAACACAAAACAAATCCTAAGAAATGATCAACTGACATAACAAAAAGGGAAAAGAATTACCATACGCACAAGCCAGAAATACTGACTGCATTTCAATGACCATTTGCACTTTCATCGGGAAAACACAGCCCCCACTGGAAAGTACCCAGCGTAACAGCTGCACTGCTTTTCCAGCTTCCACAAACATTCTAAAAGTTAGCCAAAACCCTGCACTGGCTGATGTCCAGGCTTTTATTATTATGTACTATCCGTTCACAGTGAGAAACGTGGGCTGACAGCGGAGAAAGCCGAGTAACAGCCGGGGCTTCTAACCACGTACAGATGTGAGGGTCTCTGAAGCTTTACCTGCCGGAAAATGCGTCCCAGGTTACTTCTATTACCAGTAGCCTTTATTAATTTGATTAGATAATTGCCGATGTCGTGCTTTTAAGGACATTTAGAGGCTTAACTCTGAAACCATTTTTCTTGTGTCAGGGGCTAGGCTATGCTGACATTTTAATATATTTCGTATGGAAAGCAAACCAGAAGATTCTTCCGCCCTCCCTCCACTTTTTAGCAAGTGCTGAAAACTAATCACCAGCAAACAGCCAATCGCCTTCCTTCTTTAGGTCTGGGTCTCATCCAATCAGTTACGGTTCCAAAGCTTCTCACGTTTAGTACTTCATGAATGTGGGGGTTTATATAATGTTTTTAAACAATTATACAAATCGAATGGAGTGTGCCAGACAGTTATCAATTTTATTACCATCAGTAAGAATCATGTCTCCTATGCATGCACCACGTGTATCCCCAGCACCAGCACAGCACTTGGGCTCAACAAATATTCACTGAATCGATGACTTTTCTGATCTACCCTGTATTTCAGGGGTCTTAAGAAAAATATAGGCATCTCTGGGTGGTGCAAACAGTTAACATGCTCGGCAGCTAACCAAAAGGTTGGTGGTTCAAGTCCACTCAGAAGCACCTCGGAAGAGAGGCCTGGCAATCTACCTCCAAAAAAAAAAAAAAAAAAAAACAGCCATTGAAAACCCTATGGAGCACAGTTTTACTCTGACACACATGGAGTCTCCATAACCCAGAATGAACCGACAGCAACTGTTTGTTTTTATTTTATTTTTTAAGAAAAATATACTGATGATTGATGCACGCAAATTTCTTGAAAGAAAATACAACCTGGATCTGGCTTTAATTTTTAACTTTATGTATGTATATCTGCATTACTTAACACACATTTATATAGCTCTTACTATGTGCCAGGCCAAAGGAACCTTGGTGGTGCTGTGGTTTAAGTTAAGCTCAGCTGCTCACCGAAAGGTTGGCGATTTGAACCCACCAGCTGCTCCACCAGAGAAAGATGAAGCAGTCTGCTTCTGTAAAGATTTACAGCCTTGGAAACCCGATGGGGGCAGTTCTATTCTACTCTGTCCTATAGAGTTGCTATGAGCTGGAATCGACTAGATGGCAGTGGGTTTGGTTTTTTGGTTATATGCCAGGCCTAAGCCCTTCACAAATATTAACTCATGTATCCTCAAAATGACCTTTTGGGGGTAGGCAGTATTATCTTCCGTATTTTACAGATAAGAAAACTGTGGCATGGAATTGTGAAGTAACTTGCCCAAGGTCACAGAGGTGAAAGACAGCGGAGATGGGATTTGACCCAAGTGGTCCAGCTTCAGAGTCTAGTCTCTGCAATCCAATATGGCAGCCACTAGTCCCATGTAGGAAACCCTAGTGAAGCAGTGGTTAAGAGCGTGGCTGCTAACCAAAAGGTCGGCAGCTGGAATCCACCAGGCACTTCTTGGAAACCCTATGGGGCGGTTCTTCTCTGTCCTACAAGGTTGCTATGAGTCTGAATCCACTTGACGACAATGGGCTTGGTTTTTGGTTTGGTTTAGTCCCATGTAGCTATTTAAATTTGAATTCATTAAAATTAAATAGAATTACAAACCAGCTCTTCAGCCACACTAGCCACATTTCAAGCACTCAACAGCCACATGTGGCTGGTGACAACTGTGGGGACAGAGAGCATTTCCAGCATCACAGAAAGCTCTAATCCAAGTGCTGGTCTACACACCCGTGTGTTTTGCCTCTTGATTTGGGTTTGGCTCCGTGACCCTGAGGTTCCCCCTCCATGCTGTACCCTCAACCTAATAAAACACAAAGGCTTTTTCTGACTAAGAGTCTCTAACACACGTTCTTTAGGCCACACGTATATAAAAACAAGTTGACAGCAGCTTGATTCCTGATTGGCTTTGTCAACAAGAGGGCCAACTAGAAAGTTCATTTTTTAACTTTGATATTGATTGTCTCCTCTTCTCCTGGCAGGCCACTCGCAGAAACGGTGTCTGGCTGTGAGGTCACTGGTGCACACTTGCACCTGTCCTGCCATGAAGAGCCGAAACTCTGTGTTGACGGATTCTGTGGGCAGAGTTCAGCCAGAGGATGGCCCTTCCTGAAAGTTCCCTAAAATATTTGTGGATAGTTTTCAAAACGTAGGAAGCATACCACACAAAGTTCTCTCTGTAACACAAGAAACAAAGTTTTTAAGTGGTATCAAGGCAGCCCTGGCTCGGAGGAGGAGGAATGGAGGGTGCTGCCCCGGGGGATGGAGGTGAAGGGTAAGCTTTCTACAATTCCCAAACTGGTTAGACCTCTGAGAAAAAGCAGGGGTTAAAATTCAATTACTTAAGAAGGGTAACACATGAAGTCACTGTTCCCTGTGACATCTGAGTTCCAGTCTCAGATCAGCTTCTATTACCAAGGACTTGAAATGAGACCCAGAACAGGTAAACTTTGGTTTAAAAAAAATAAACAAAAGGGAAGTCCTAGCAGCCAAGGGCAGGACGATACAGAAGCGAAGAAGAAAACCTGGTGGGTGGAGGGAGTCTCACGGGTAGATGAAGAAAGGCACTCAAATGGGTACAGAGGAGGACTTTAAAAAACAACAGCAACAAACTCATAGTTCTTGCTGTGCTGGCCTTCTGAGTCAGAAAATTCTGTTTCTGCTTTTGTTAAATGGAGCCAATATAAGATCTATAACAAAATGCATTAATTCCGTCTCTCCCTCTGCTAAGTCAGGCATTACTCATAATGCTCAATTTCAGAGAACCCTAGAAGGCTACTCACTGAAACTCCAGGGGTTCCTTGAAAAGACATGCATCCTATGGGTCAGCAGATGACACGTCTCCCTGACACTGCAGGGACAAAGGACGAAATCGTTGACGCTCGCATCCTGGTGGGGGCCAATACCAAGACCAGGAGCACAGAGCACGCAGACAATGGACCTTCATGTTCCACCTTCATGTTCCATGGTGTGTGTTTTTACCCATTTACTATTTCCTGAACATCTATTTCTATAAACATACACCCAACTCATCCTTTGTAACAGCTGTACAGCATTCTACCATATGGATGTGCCATAATTTATTTAACCAAGCTCCTACTATAGGACACACGTGTATGTGGTTGGACGTTGCCCGAATGGACGTTACGTGGCGCGTGGCTGTGTGAAGGTTCTTCGAAGGTCACCCTCCATCTTTAGAGTGATGGCTCATTGTTATTTTAATTTGCATTTATTTGCTAACTAGTGACTCTGAATATGTTTTATGTATAAATTGATCATTTATTTGGGCCAGTTACTAACCCCTCTGTCCTCAGTTTACTCATCTGTAAAACAGGAATAATAACTATATTCACAGAATTGTTTTGAGGATTATTTGAGTTAATGCATGTAAAATGCTCCTAACAATATGTGGAACACAGAAGCATTCAAAAGAATGTTAGCTATTACTGTTATTTATACTTTTTAACTTCTTTGTGATACAGGAAAGAAATCTCCCTTTGGGAACAACAGATTCACACTGGTTACTTTTTGTGAACAGTACAGATGAAATGATTATCACTGGCTAACAAAGAACCGCTGTATGTGCCCACGTGTAATTCTAGAAATGGATCTTCCTCCCCTTTAGTTAGTTAAAACTGCCCACTAGACCAAGGCTATTTTTCTGTAATATAAATTAGGAAGACAATTTTTTTTTTTTTTTTTTCAGATTCCAAAGGAGGAAGACAATTTTTAATAAACAATTTAATTAACTGACATTCTTGGGTTTTACTTGATTTTTAATAAAATTCTGACTTTCCCAGCCTAATTTTTTATAACAAAAAAATTCCCCAAAATTGCCCACAACACAAAAAAAAGACCAGATTACTGGCCTAAAGGAGACTGGAGAAACCCTGAGAGTGTGGCCCCCAGACACGCTTTTAGCTCAGTGGTGAAGTTATCTCCGAGGTTCACTGTTCAGCCTGGGAGTGGACAGCCCCATAAAACCAAATGAGACTAACGAGGTACAGGAGTCCAGTGACAAGGGCCAGAAGGCAGAAGGGGACAAGGAAGCTGGTGATAGGGAACCCAAGGTTGAGTAAGGATATTGTTGATGTGTGGCGAGATTGTTAACCATTGTCATAGGGCAACATTTGTAGTAACTGTTAAATGAGAAACTATTTTGTTCTGTAAGCCTTCATCTTAAGTGAGAATAACAGCACAACTGCAAGAGTGTAGTCAATGTCACCGAACTGTGCATGTAGAAATTTTTGAAATGGTGTATCTTTGGCTATGTGTATTTTCACCAAAAAAAAAAAGGTTGAGAAGTTAGAGGGTTGACATGTTGTGGGGTTGTTAACCAATGTCATAAAACAATATGGGTACTACTGTTTCATGAGAAACTATTTGTTCTGTAAGCCTTCACCTGAAGTACAATTAAAAAAAAAAAAAAAAAAAAGGCCCACAAAACAAAACGAGACTAAATGGACACACCAGCCCAAGGGCAAGGACGAGAAGGCAGGAGGGGACAGGAAAGCTGGTAATCGGGCATCCAAGGTCGAGAAGGGGAGAGTGTTGACATGTTGTGGGGTTGGCAACCAATGTCACAAAACAATATGCGTATTGTTTATTGAGAAACTAATCTGCTCTGTGAACCTTCATCTAAAGTACAATCATAATAATAAAAAAAATTTCCAAAAAGGAGTTTGGTTAAATAAATCATAATACACACACATACGTAGATTCTCACGCACCAAATGAAAGCAAGGATGTATTTATTATATGTCTACATAAAACACAGCCAATGCTCAGGATGAAATAGCAGGTAACAACGTATATAGGTATATTACGATTCTATTTTTGTTCGAAAGCACACCTATATCTGGAATAACATATATCAAAATGTTAAAAGTAGCCAGCACTGGGTGGCAACACCGAGATTCAAGGCACTTGAAATTTTCTTAACTATGTTTTCCAAGGTTTCTACAAAGAACACTTTATTTTTGAGATGAGAAGGTTTAAGTGTTTGTACAGATGGGATTCCAGGGTGGTGTGTGGTTTCCTGGGCAGAGTGGGGCCCTCTGCAGGACAGATCCTCTTGGATAACAACATTCTCTCTGAAAGGAGGTGGCATCTTATAAAGGCTCCTTGTGTCTGAATCCGAAATTCCTGCCTTCTCAGCCTCCAAGAGACAGGCAAGGGTCCTGAGCTGATTTTTGTCTTTTCCTCCCTTATCACCCATCAGTGATACCCCAAAGCTTTCAAAACAAAGCTTCAAACTGTATGATAAATAAGCACACACCAGATCAGCAGCCTTCCATTCCCACTCATGGTGACCCCACGTGTGTCAGAATGGAACTGTGCTCCATGGGGTTTTCAATGGCTGATTTTCGGAAGTAGACCACCAAGCCTTTCTTCTGAGGCACCTCTGGGTGGACTCAAACTTCCGACCTTTCAGACCAGAGTACATTAACCACTTGCACAATGCAGAGTCCCACAGGCACACAACATCCCTGCCGCCTTGCCCACAGCTCTGCCCCAAACCCAGACACACCCTCAGTCCAGGCTGCAGTCCCCAGACTCCGCACACCCACTGAGCTCAAGCTCCGGTCCTCCAGGAGGCCTTGCCTGCCCACCTCTGTGTCCATTTCTATCTCCGCACTCTGCACACTGGACAACAGCTGTTGGTCCACTCCCGCCCCATTCCTGACTGTGAGTGGGTTGAGGGGAATACAACAGGCATGCAAAAGGAACTCATCTTAGGACATTCTTAAAAAAAGAAAAAAGACAGCTTTACTGAGGTATAGCTGACATACACTAAACAGTACATATATAGACATATATAAGCATAACAGTGATTGTGAGGATGGTGCAGGACCAGGCAGTGTTTCATTCTGTTGGACACAGGGTCGCTAGGAGTCGGAACCGACTTGATGGCACCTAATAACAACATATAAACTGTATAACTGGTAAGTTTTGATATGTGTATACACCGTAAAAACATCGCCACAGTCAAGAAAATGAACATACCCATCGCCCCCAAAAGTTTCCTCATGCCCCTTTGTCTTTCTTACACTCCTCCTGCCCTCCCCCAGCCCCCACCCCCAGATAAGCACAGCTCTGCTTGCTGATACTATAGATGACTTTACATCTTCTATATAAATGGGATCATACACTATGTACTCTCAAGGCTTCTTTCTCTCAACATAATTATTTTCAGATTCACCCATGTTGGTGCGTTTAGCAATAGCTCATTCCTTTTTATTGCTGAGTAGTATTCCACTGTATGGATATACCACTTTATTTATCCATTCACCTATGACAGACATTTATGTTGTTTTCAGTTTGGGGTTGTCTCAGTTATGTAGTACTGCTATAACAGAAATACCACCAGTGGATGGCTTTAACAAAGAGAAATTTATTCTCTCACAGTCTGAGAGGTCAGAAGTCCAAATTCAGAGTGCCAGCTCTAGGGGAAGGCTTTCTCTGTCAGTTCTGAAGGAAGGTCCTTGTCGTCAATCTTCCCTTGGTCTAGGAGCTTCTCTGCATAGGAAGCCCAGGTCCAAAGGACATACTCTGCTCCCGGAGCTGCTTTCTTGGTGGTATGAGGTTCCCATGTCTCTCTGCTCGCTTCTCTCTTTAATATCACAAGAGACTGACTCAAGACACAATCCAATCTTGTAGATTGAGTCCTGCTTCATTAACATAACTGCCACTAATCCTATCACATCAACATCATAGAGATAGGATTTATAACACATAGGAAAATCACATCAGATGACAAAATGATGGACAATCACACAATACTGGGAATCATAGCCTAGCCAAATTGATACACATATTTTTGGGGGACACAATTCAATCCATGACAGGGGTTACTACAATAAAGCTGCTATGAACATTCCTGTCAAGTCGTTAGGTGGACATATGCTTTCATTTCTCTTAAGAAAATACACAGGAGTGGAACAGCTGGTCATACTCTAGGTGAATGTTTAATTTTTTAAGATACTGCATCTTAGGGCATTCTAATTCTTTTTTTTTTTTTGAACAATGAGCAGACAAGTACCCAAATGCACCAAGGGAGTACCCTATCAAAAGGAAGATAATAAACCTTTTTACAAGGGACGAATCCTTTCATAATGTGAATAATCATTCTCCGTAACTTTTTAAATCCAATCTCCACAGTTGAGGTTTTTAAAGTGAGTCATGCCTGTATTAATTACAGTTCTATAAAAACTGGTACTCTGTCCACTGCCCAGTTCCCCTACATTGAGTCTCATTCTCTGCAGGATTTGGATGGCTCCATTAATTGCTTCTTTCTCTGCAATCCTCTAACAGCGGTGCTGTGAGAAAGAGCATGACGTTACGGTTATATCAGAATCTTGAAGAAGGACCCTTTCTTTGTATGTGTTTCATTTAAGATGATAGTCAGCAGTAAATACAACATGAGCTATGAATAGAAAAACAAATCCACGAGGATTTATCTAAGTTGGCATTTCATCTTGGATCCTCTCCCCTAACTTTAACCTGGTAAAATTCAGAACACATAAAAGCATACGGTTTACAAAACATGTAAAAGGGAGCAATTTAGAGCATAGAGGAAATTATAAGAAAACCAAAAACGTCAAGATATGCTCTTTGGTTCTGTCTAAACTTCAAAGGGTTGGATTTTTTGATAATATTGTAATTAATATTCTGTAGACGCACTAAAAGGCACACCAATTTTCTAAACTCAGTTTCAAAAGAATCTGAGTATAAAAGCATAATAGAGCTAAACAGAGTCTGACAGCTTTTATTATTTCTATTAACTTTTCTGCTCTAGTTTATACAAACCAATAAACCTCATTCTCATTCCACATGAAAAGAAAGGAAATTCACCCAGTAGTCAATTACATTTCTGCAGTAGGCTGCAAGTATCTTTGCCTGAGACATATGACCCATGTACATGTGTCCTCAGTATGAAGAATATTGCAATTTATAGAACTGTTCTAG